ATAAATATAAAATATATTTATATTTTGATATATTTATATTTTGATATATTTATATTTTGATATATTTATATATTTGTATTTGTATTTATATATTTATATTTATATATTTATATTTATATATTTATATTTATATATTTATATTTATATATTTATATATTTATATATTTATATATTTATATATATATATATATTTATGTATTTATATATTTATGTATTTATATATTTATGTAGTTATATATTTATGTATTTATGTATTTATATATTTATATATTTATATATTTTATATTTTATATTTATATATTTATATATTTTATATTTATATATTTTATATTTTATATTTTATATTTTATATTTTATATTTTATATTTTATATTTTATATTTTATATTTTATATTTATATATTTATATATTTATATATTTATATATTTATATATTTACACGAATAAATATAAGTATAATTTATTTGTAAATTATTATTAGAATATCCTAATAGTTTAGTGGTTGGAGTATCGGTTTTCAACTTTAAGGTACTGGGTTTGATTCTTGCTAGTGACAATTCTTTTAGTTTAATAGGTAATTATCTACGGAATTACCCACAGATGACATTACCTATGGATAATATCCGTAGGTAATGGATAATTACCTACGGATAATATCTGTAGGTAATGGATAATTACCTACGGATAGAATTCTGTAGGTAATATCCGTAGGTAATGGATAATTACCTACGGATAGAATTCCGTAGATAATGTAAATTACCTACGGATAGAATTCCGTAGGTAATGTAAAATTTACCTACGGATTTTTATCTGTAAGTAATATTCCGTAGGTAATAGGCTTTTTTTTTGTAGTGTATTAAGCATCTTCGATGATGGAAAATATTATGTGTTTCTTGAAGAAGACAAAATTGTGTTTCACAGAATTCAGGTTGTCTTGACATAGTTAACAAATTGTATCAAAATTTGCTTTATAATAAATTTTAAAACCCTTTTACAGTCTCTCCCTTTTACATATGTTGCAAAGAGAAAATAATAATAATAATAATAAAAATAAATAAATAATAATAATAATAATAATTTTTAAGCAACGTATACTTGATGAAATAACTTTCATAATTTTTAAACAACATATATTCTCTCATCACGTGTGAAGAATAATAAAGTTATTTGAAACAATTTCAAGCAATTTTCTAACAAGGATATATATCTTCTTTTAATAAAATTAATTAATTTTTATAATATAATAATTTTATATATAAATTATAAGATGAAATATTAATTCACTTAAAATTAATTATTAAAGACTTATTCTTCATTTTTATTATTTATTTTTTAAAATAAATATCTAACTCTTATTCATTAAGCCATGGGCCAATAGAGTCAAGATTTCTGATTTAATTGAACAATAACATTTAAACTTTTTTTCCTCGTATATTAATGGTATTTAATGAATTGTTTTTAAGGTAGTATTTAATTTAATTTTTTTTAAGAGAGAACATTATATATATGCAGTTTTTCAAGAGCTTCCCGTATACTTATTTAATTAATAATTTGATTTTTCACCTTTATAACTTTTACCACTAGTACAAAAATCACTTTTAACATCGGTCTTTCCCCATCGGTTCTTTAAGAACCGATATAGAAAGTGAATTCAAGACTTTCAACATCGGTTTAGTTAGGAACCGATGTAGAAAATACTTTCTACATCGGTTCACGGATGAACCGATGTAGCTCAGATGAACCGATGTAGAAAGTTTTTATTATAAAATTATGAGAATTGTTATTGGCAAGATTCGAACAAAGTACCTTAGAATTAAAGACTAATACTCTAACCACTAAACTACTAGGATTTTCTGATAATAACTTATAAATAAATTATATTTATATACAAATAAAAATGTATATCCATGTAAATATATAAATATAAAATATATAAATATAAAATATATAAATATAAAATATATAAATACAAATATATTTTATATATTTATATGTTGGATGTGAGAGCGCGCTCGAGAGTGAAAGTATGTGTCAAGGGTTTTCAAAATTTGATGTCAAATTTGTGAGCGAGTCCCTTTATATGAATTTGTAATTTAATGATAGAATATAATCTTTATAATTTATTTATAATAATATAGAATATAATCTTTATAATTAATTTATATAATGATATAAAATAAAATAAAAATTATTTTATATTATTATATAAATGAATTATAAAGATTATATTTTGTCATTAAGTTATAATCCATATAAAGAGACCCGCTCACAAATTTGACATCAAATTTTGAAAATTCACTCGACATACACTTTCATTCTCGAGCGCGTTCTCACATCAAACATATAAATATATAAATATATTTGTATTTATATATTTTATATTTATATATTTACATGAATATACATTTTTATTTGTATATAAATATAATTTATGTATAAGTTATTATCGGAAAATCCTAGTAGCTTAGTGGTTGGAGTATCGACCTTCGACTCTAAGGTACTGGGTTTGAATCTCGCCGATGACAATTCCGTTAATTTGATAATAATTCAAATTCTTATAGAGAGGGGTTTTTGAATAAATAAAATAAATAAAAATATTATAGATAGGGTAATTAGAGAGGAGTTATAAATAAATAAAATAAATAAAAATATTAGACTTTCTACATCGGTTCTAGAACCGATGTTAAAAGCCTATTTTGTACTAACGCAAAACTTTACTTCATGAATTATCAAAGATCAAACTTCATTCCAGTTGGACACTTAAACCAAAAAAGCACATGGAGACACTACTACAAATAAAGCCTTCAACGTCGGTTCAACAACCGACGTTGTATCAGCTGTGACTTTCAACGTCGGTTTTATTAGAACCGACGTTGAAAGTATAATTTTTTAAATTAATAATTTTTATTTATTTACAACCCCTTTACCCCTTTTATTTATTTAGAAGTCTCCCTCTCTTTATATTATATTTTTATTAGGTCCTCCATCTTTTTATATTATATTTTTTAGAAGTTTATTTAATTTTTTAAGAGAATTGTCATTGGCGAGATTCGAACCCAGTACTTTAGAGTTGGAGGCTGATACTCCAACCACTAAACTACTGGAATTTTTTGATAATAACTTATAAATAAATTATATTTATATACAAATAAATATATATCCAGTGTAAATATATAAATATATAAATACAAATATATTTATATATTTTGATATATTTATATAGTTATATATTTATATGTTGAATGTGAGGGTACACTCGAAAGTGAAAGTGTGTGTCGAGTAGGTTTTCAAAATTTGATGCTAAATTTGTGAGAAGGTATCTTTATATGAGTTTGTAATTTAATGACATAATATAATCTTTATAATTTTATTTATATAATAATATAAAATAAATTTGGGAAACGCGTTATTCGCTCTCAAGCGAAAAATACCAATTTTCGCTCAAACGAGACTTGAGTGAGTGAATTTCAGTGAGCTTTAACATATTTTCACTCAAGCGAGAGTCAATCACACTTTCACCCTCGGTCAAAAAATACCAATATAATTTATTTGTAAGTTATTATCAAAAAATTATAGTAGTTTAGTGGTTGGGATATTAACTTACAACCCTAAAATACTTGGGTTCAAATGCTTGTCAGTGACAATTCATTAACTTAAGTGAATTTTTGGCTGAAAAAAAATAAAAATACTTTCCGAGAAAATATATACAAATAAATATATATTTACATGGATATATATTTATTTGTATATAAATATAATTTATTTGTAAGTTATTATCAGGAAATTATAATAGTTTAGTTGTTAGAGTATTAGTTTCCAATTCTAAAATCCCGAGTTCGAATCCTGGCAGGTGACAATTTTCGAATTTTTGGGTGAAAAAAATAAAAAAAAACGACTTTCCACGTCGGTTCATATGGGAACCGACGTGGAAAGTGTCAATAAGTAAAAAAAATAAAAAAAGACTTTCAACGTCGGTTCATATGGGAACCGAGCGTGGAAAGTGTCAATAAGTAAAAAAAAATAAAAAAAAGACTTTCAACGTCGGTTCATTTGGGAACCGACGTAAAAAGTACCTTCTACGTCGTTTGACTAAGAACCGACGTAGAATGTGTTTACTATTCAACTTTCAACGTCGGTTCATCCGGACCGACGTGAAAAGTACTTTCTACGTCATCTCAGCTATAACCGACGTTAAATGACGACGTAGAAAGTATATTTTGTAGTAGTGAGAACTGCTAAATGGTATTGCCATAGTTTTCTTTAACCAACTAGAATTTCCAGATTTAATATTTTTATTATTATTTATGTTATTTATTGATAAGAATTATTCATCATCAAATATATTTATTGGTATTATTATAGATACAATAAACCTGAACATGTATAATTTTATTATAATCAGTTTCATATTTAAAATAAATATAAAAATCACTACCATTTATGCTACCAGCTGTTATTCTGAGATATCATTTACGTTATATTTTTATGTTGTGGATATAAATTAATAATGATATAACTTATGCATTTTGAATGACATTGTCATTTCCACAATTAGTCAAAAGAAACTGATGATAATTAAATACTTAAAAAAATCATTAATGATAAATATAATAAAATATCATTTCTTTCATATGGTATTAATTATCACATTAAATCAATTAGTATTTGCTATTTTTTTAGTCTCTTTGCTTTTTTAAATATATGTTGCTTAATAGTTTTGAAATGATTCAAAATTCATTATATATAACTTGATTGTTAAGAGTCATTTATCTTGATTACAAGGAGAGTTAATATTCAGTATTATGCTTAATCATATATGTATTCAACACCACGTTTTGTAGTCAAGAAGATCGAATAATGGTTATCGTGAGGTTAGTCATCCTTGAATGCCTTGGATGAGAGTTATTGCTTCTGTGTATTCTCAGTTCCTTTGCAATCAAACACATGCAATCTTTCTATCTATTCTTTCATATTTCTATTCTCAATTCCTAACAATTAGCAATGGCTATTGGAGGTTCAGTTTTAAGTTGCTTCTGTTTATTCCCTTTCTCTGTGTCCCGAAAGGACAAAAGCCAAAGCAGTGGCAGAAGTTCTAGTTTTAGACTATCAAATTCAGAAGAAGTTGATAGGATTAGTTCTCTGCCAGATGAAGTTATTTGCCATATCCTTTCATTCATCCCAACCAAGGAGGTCGTTACAACCAGTGTTTTGTCCACCAGGTGGAGAACACTTTGGACTTCAGTCCTTGCTCTTGATTTTGAGGATAATTGGCCTTGTTTCTTCAACACAAACTTTGCTTCAATTGTTGGAAGTATCTTAGATCAACGCAGAGCAAAAAGCATCAACAGACTTTGTATCCATAACCATAACAAATCCTTCAGCATTGAGTTGATTGGCACATTGGTTTCCACAGCTGTGGCCCAAAACCTTCAGGAGCTGGACCTCTTTTGCTATTATTATTTGGAGGTTACTTTGCCAAACATACTTTTCACTTGCAAAACCATCTCAATTTTGAAGTTATCATTCGGCTCAACAATCAATCTAAATGGCGTTTCATCCATTCACCTTCCTTCGCTCAAGGTCTTGCATCTTTATCTGCTTTACCTTGCAGATGATGAACCTGTAATGAGGTTTTTCTCTGGGTGCCCAATTCTTGAAGAACTTTGTTATGAGGAAGTGAAGTCTAATAATTCAACCTCTTTTAAAATCTGCATGCCTTTGCTGAAAAAGTTACATCTTAAGTGTCATGATAAAAGAGTGCAGATAGTCACCCCTTCTCTTGAATACCTTCAAGTGCAAGAAACTAAAGTGTGTGACACTTTGGTCTGTAACCTGCCTAACTTGATAAAAACACATGTTGATATCTACTTTGACAAGTGTGAACAAGAATATGTGTCAAAGCTTTTCAATGGAATTCATCACACAAATTTTTTGGAGTTGTCTACTTATACAACGGAGGTAAGGTTCATTTTTGTTAGTATTTTATGAAGGATAGGAAAGATTGTTTGATATTTAGTAGTGAAATTTGTGTAGAAAATAGTTTTTAGAATGAGGTGGGCAAATAGGAGAAGGTTTGTATGAGGGAAGATAGTAATTGATCTTGGAAGTGCTACAAGATATGTAGGAGCTTGTATTAGATTTTCCACACATACAAATACTCTTTTCATGTCTATTTATAGGCTTTACTTACAAGATTCTAGAATTTTCTACTAATTTCATTGTTTCTACACTATTCTATTTCTACACATTTCTTCTTCTTTTTCTTTTTCTAAAATTATGTTGTAACTTCTACTAATACACATATATTTTCTACATAATTCTAGAAGTTTTACATAATTTTAGATTTTCTTAATTCTATAATTATATATCTTCTACTTTCAAACATTTCTAGAATCTTCTAAGGATTCTAAATATTACTCATATATAATTCTTAATTCTAGTAAAATCTAAGATTTTATATTCTAGATCTTTCTAGAATTTGTATCATCTTTCAACTATTTTTCAAATCCTTAGCACACTTAGGTATATTAATGTTTTATATATGTTATTCCTTTTAAATCAAATAATGTATAGATGTTATTCATAGTTCTTTGTAATTCTCATCCACATGCAGGTTCTTGCTGATTCCAGCTTTGGATTTCCAGAATTTCACAATTTGGTTCATCTAAAGCTTTGTCTGAGCACTATTGACTATTGTTTTCTGATACAACTGATGCTTACAAAATGTCCCAAGCTTCAAATTCTTGACATTGACAAGGTTTGCTTACATTATAGGTTCAGTTTTGTTGTTTTATTGATATTTATTAGTCCCGGTTTGTCTGGTTTTTACATCAGTTATCTATTCTAAAATTTGTAGTCTTGAGCATTTATGAAAATTTTTGTTCATTGAGCACTTTTTTTTGTTTAAAGTTTAACCCCATAACATTTGAATGTACGTATACACTTCACCTTTTAGTTATTTCTTTTCTTTAAAAATGTATAATTTTATACATATTTTGTATGAATTTGTTGCTGACAACGTGAAACTCTCTTAATTTATAACAAAAGAGTGAGAAAGGAATCAAACATGCCCTTGCTTTCTTTTTGTCTCTCCCATTAAAAAAACTAATAACAGTTCTTCAACAGGTTTACGAAGAAAGTGCTGAAAGAAAGAGGACACTGCCAACAACACCAGTTCCTAAATTGTCTTAGCTCACATCTTACTGTGTTTAAATTTAGAGAATATAGTGGGTCCAAAGATGAATTGGAACTCACAAAATATGTTCTAAAGAATTCAAAGGTCCTGAAGACAGTGAAAATTCAGATCGAGAAGTGGTTGGAGCCAAAGAAAGCAAGTCATGCAATGTCGAAACTGCATGCTTTACTATCAGCCTCAAAATATTGTCGATTAATAGATTATGAAATTCATTGTCAACATTTACCCTGATGTATGCAATTTCTTCAAGTATATGAATTCTAAAATTTTGGTATTAATGAGCATTTGGTAAGTCATCTTATAAAGCTTGTGTTAGAAACAAATGTCTTTCAACTATAAGTGAAATTGTACACATTCTTACTTCAAACATAAATATTCCTTTTGATTTTGTAGTGAAGCAATTTTTGGTGACTTGCAATGACCACTGTGGTGAGAATTTGAATGGCAAAAGAGTGTTTTTAACGTAAGTGGTTTCTATTTAATGTGTCAATAACTTTATATTTGTCATTTAGGTCATATATGTAATAAACAGAAATAAATGCACAACTTAGGCAATGTAATCCTTAATAAATAGAAGATTCAAAGTTTGACATTTCTGCCATGAATGTTATTATGGACAAATACCACCGCATCAAACGCACAATGTTTATTGTTTAATAAATTTAGTTATTAGAATAAATTATTTGTAAATATATTGTTGTTTGTATAAATAATAGTGCGTAAGAAAAAAATTATACTTTCAATAAGAGAAATTAACAGAGAAAATATATTTCAAGTATTCAACAATTGTAAGATTCGTTAATTAGTGGATTACTTATTTTAGTAACCTTAGTATTAGAGTAAATTTTTTGCGTTGACCTGGTATTATAAAAACCAAAATCTTGCATAGTCAAATTTAAAACAAATCGTAATTATATTAACAAGCATGTAAATTATATATTTCAAAATATGCTTTTATCAAATAATTGGCACCGGAAGTCTTATAATTAATACCCAAGACTAAGCTGAAGGATTTTGTTATCTTACGGAGACAAAGTCTTTTAGCTAAGATACTACTACCTTTACTAAGTTGGATGCATATATATGTGACATTGAAATTTCCTCTGAGTATATCAAGAGTGACATTATTGATGTAGAATGTGTTATTTTGACCAAAGTTATGTAGTATTTGTTTTATTTTTAATAGTGGACTTTAATTTACTTTGTATTTTACTTGTAAATGTCAATCTCTACACGTCAAACCATATATATTAAAAATAAAAAATAAAAAATTATTTTTAAAAATAATAAATAAATAAATATTTTATTCATTCGTAATTATATATTTATATTTATATTTATATTTATATTTATATTTACATTTATATTATACCTTTAAGGATTTTTAACACATTAAAAAACTCACATTTATAGTTGTAGACACTATTTGAATAAGCTTCCAAAAGTATTAGTAAGTTTTATGAATAGAGGTAATAATATTTTTTTCTCTAAAAATAGTATATTGTAAACTCTTCTCTTCTCATTATTGACTTGTCCATCGGATTATCTTCGTAGGTACTCTCATTTTTCAATCCTGACCTGATACTTTCCGACCCCGAGAACAAATTAAATCAACATATTCGTAACGTGCATAGGTTACTAAGGACCAGAGTCCCGAAAAGATTTAGGAAACACTTAACAAGAATTCAAAGTCACATAGCTAAGGAGGTTAGTGTTCGACCATGTAGTAGAGGTGTCAACGTGGGTTTCAACCCATGAACCAACTTGACTCACCATGTTTGTGTGGGACAAATTTTAATTTTTTTAATAGTGGGTTAAAACGGGCTCGGTTCACTTAATTCGTAGGTTAAATGTGTTTGAGTAAAGTTAGTGGTAGGTTGAGTCATTTTTCTCGATCTTTAATATTCTAATTTTTTTATTCATATGTTGGTGTAAATCCATGAAAAAAAAAATACTTTAGTGAGTCAATCTACCTAATCAACTTATATAAGTAAGTCAACCAACTTATTTTAGTAATTTAAAAAAGTTTTAAAAAAATACACATATTTAAGTGGGTTAACCCACCAACCTGAAGTGGGTTGAGGCAGGTTGTAAAATTTTTTACTCATCAAAAAATGAGTTGGATCGAATTAGCCCATTTTTAATGTAACCTATGGTGAGTCACCCGGTGTGAGCTAGGTTGGCTCACTTTGGCACCCATATCGTGGGGGTCGAGTGAACACTAGTTTGATGGAATCCACGAGAAACATGGTTAACATGAAAAGATAGAGTTCACCACATAAGGAAGCAAGAGAGAGTTGTGTCAACGAAGGGGCCCTGCTAGTCGAACTAAGAAGAGAGGTAGAAAACTTCAAGAAAGAGAGTTTGGAGGAGAAAATGATGGTAAAATAGGAAAAATGACTGAATTTGAAAGCAATTGGAAGAAAAGGAGAGTGAGCACGTCCTGATGGAAGCACTTATGTGGGAGCCTCGACATAAAACCTCATGTCAATCGAGAAACCATGCAGGCATCCTTTCGTTGATGGTATCATGGAGGTCGCATTGTCCCAGGGGCTTTTAACATCAATTCTAGAACCGATGTAGAAAGTGACTTTCCACATCGATTGTAAGGAACCGATGTAGAAAGTCTAATATTTTTATCTATTTTATTTATTCATAACCCCTCTCTAATTACCCTATCTATTGATCTATTATATTTTTATTATTTATTATATTATTATCAGATTAAGAGAATTGTCACTGGCAATATTCGAACCCAGTACCTTAGAGTCGGAGGCTGATACTCCAACCACTAAGCTACTAGGATTTTTCGATAATAACTTATACATAAATTATATTTATATACAAATAAAAATGTATATCCATGTAAATATATAAATATAAAATATAAAATATATAAATACAAATACAAATATATTTATATATTTATATGTTTGATGTGAGGACGCGCTCGAGGATGAAAGTGTGTGTCGAGTGAATTTTCAAAATTTGATGTCAAATTTGTGAGCGAGTCTCTTTATATGGATTATAACTTAATGACAAAATATAATCTTTATAATTCATTTATATAATAATATAAAATAATTTTTTTTTCTTTATTTTATATCATTATATAAATTAATTATAAAGATTATAAATTATAAAGATTATATTCTATCATTAAATTACAAATTCATATAAAGGGACTCGCTCACAAATTTGACATCAAATTTTGAAAACCCACTTGACACACACTTTCACTCTCGAGCGCGCTCTCACATCCAACATATAAATATATAAAATATATTTGTATTTATATATTTTATATTTATATATTTACATGGATATACATTTTTATTTGTATATAAATATAATTTATTTATAAGTTATTATCGAGAAAATCCTAGTAGTTTAGTGGTTAGAGTATTAGTCTTTAATTCTAAGGTACTTTGTTCGAATCTTGCCAGTAACAATTCTCATAATTTTATAAAAAAAACTTTCTACATCGGTTCATCTGAGCTACATCGGTTCATCTGTGAACCGATGTAGAAAGTGTTTTCTACATCGGTTCCTAACTAAACCGATGTTGAAAGTCTTGAATTCATTTTCTACATCGGTTCTTAAAGAACCGATGTGGAAAGACCGATATTAAAAGTGATTTCTGTACTAGTGATGACAGAATGACGGACCCGAATGAACACATCAACGCATATATTACGCAAGTCAATCTTTACACTACGCATGATGCAATCATGTGCCGAGTATTCCTAACCTCATTGAAAGGAGTAGTGTAAGTTGGTTTACCAGACTACCCCTACACTTAATTGACTTCTTTGAGACTTTAATTACGAAGCTTGGAATGTCATTTGCCACTAGTCTGATGCACCACTCACATCAATAATGCTCATAAATATAAATATAAGGCAAGAAAAAAAAGCGAAAGTCTCAGAGCTTTCATGGAAAGATTCGGAAATGTAGCTTTGAATATAAGGAAACTAAACTTGGAAGTCACCTTGCATCACCTGCAAACAACTTTAAGACCCGACCTTTTGCTGACAGCCTATGGAAAAAACTGGCACAAGACCTGGATGAGTTGAGGAAGAGAGTAGAAAAATTCATGCAATTGGAGGAATTAAAGGAGTATCATAATGAGGTCAAAACTACTATGTCAACAAGAATTGGTGGCCTGTTGGACAATCGGTCAACCAAAAATGATAGGGCACTAGTGTAGAATAGGGCTTTTACGTCACCCAATTGTCGTCGCATGCATGTATATTCGACGTAAATAAAATGCGGTGACAATTTTGTAAATATGGGACAAAAATTTTACGTCGCACATCCCAGTATACGACGTAAAAAGCCTCTTTTACGTCGCACCTGGGAGGCGCGACGTAAAAGATGGACTTTTACGTCGCGCACTCCAGGTGCGACGTAAAGGATGGCTTTTACGTCGCGTGCTGGGATGCGCGACGTAAAAAGTCTATTTTATTTCCCTCTAGACCCACTTCCTCGTCTTGCGCAACCAGGGTTTTTGAGAACGACGACGAGAACGACGACAACAGCTACCTCTGCAAACCATTTTCGAGCAGTTTTACAGTGAAAAACATCTACATTATCGTGTCATTTGACGAACTTGATCTTTCTCCCCGATTGGATTCGAGTTTGAAATCAGTTTTCGTCTACACTCGAGGTTAGTGTTCTATGTCATTGCTATATGTTTACATTGAATCCGTGATTGTTTTTGGGGATCTCAATCACGTTATAGTATGAATGTCTCCACTGGATTGTTATTGGAATGTAATTATTTGTTTATTTGTTTGAGTGCATTCGGTTTACACACTCCATTGTTGTTGGAACGTGCTTTGTTGTTTGTATATTAATTTTTTTACATATAATTTTTAAATCTCTAGGAGTGACGAAACTTTATAACATAATATGAATCGAAGTTGGATGAATGCACGTCGTATTAGTGAAGAGTACGAAAAGGGAGTTGAGGAATTTTTGAAATTTGCTAGTGAAAATGGAAAAGCTATGAAAGGGACATATTATTGTCCATGTGTTCGTTGTTTGAATCAAATTCGTCATAAACTTGAGGATATACGTGATCACTTGTTTGTTTATGGTATTATTAAGAGTTATACAATATGGACATGGCATGGAGAAATATTAGACATCCCAACTGTGTCAACTACGGACAATTTTGATGAAGGGATGGATGATAATCTAGAGGATATGATACGTGATATTGGTGAAGAAAATTTTATGAAAGCACATCTATATGATTCTTTGAAATCTGATTTTGCGCAACAATTGTACATAGGATGTAGTTTTACAAGATTATCAGCAACTTTAAAATTGTTTACTTTAAAAGCAAGAAATGGATGGACTGATAAAAGTTTCACCGAATTATTGGAGTTGTTGAAGGAGATGCTTCCGAAGATAATACATTACCTATTCGTAACTATGAGGCAAAGAAGATATTAT